TTCCACAATTTATTTGAACTTATCTGACTCTGTGATTAGAAAAGTTGGAATTTTGGAATCTGCTAAAACCCTTTGGGATAAACTTGAAGAACTCTATACTGAAACCTCTTTGCCCAGTAAAATGTTTTTGCTTGAAAAATTTTTCAAATTTAGATTGGATATGTCTAAGGATATTGAGGAGAACCTAGATATTTTCACAAAACTTATTTCAGATATTAAGTTAACTGGTGATAAACATATAGACGACTATACTCCTATTGCTCTTCTAAATGCTATTCCTGACTCATATAGTGATGTGAAATCTGCTATTAAGTATGGTAGAGATGAGGTTATCCTTGACATTGTGGTCAATGGTCTTAAGAGTAAGGAATTAGATTTAAAACATTCTGGGAAAAATAAAAATTCTGATGAGGTTATGCATGTGAGGGGTAGGCCTCAGAATAGGTCTAATAACCAAAAGAATGCTAGTAATGGGGAATCAAGTAGGAAACAATTCGAAAATGGAATGGGTAGATCTAAAGTTAGAAAATGTTATAACTGTCATGAAAACGGTCACTTTATTAGAGATTGTCCTAAACCTAGGAAAAATCAACAAAATGATCAGACTAATATGGCTGTCTATGAGGACGAAATAAGTGAAATTTTCATGATTTATAATCTGTGTGATTATGCATATCTGAACTCTGTGTTATCTGATTCTTTGTGCCAATCAAATTGGTTGGTAGACTCTGGTTGTACTTTTCATATGACTCCATTTAAAAATATGTTTTCAAACTACAAGAAAATAGAGAATGGCTTTGTGTCAATGGCAAATGAAAAGAAATGTAATGTTTTAGGAACTGGTGATGTATGCCTTAGGTTTTCTTCTGGTTCTGTGTTTACTTTGAAGGATGTTAGGCATGTTCCTGATTTATGTTATAACTTGATTTCTTGTGCATCTCTAGAAAATGATGGTTTGGAGGGAAAATGGGGTAAAGGGGTTATGAAAATTCTAAAAGGGTCTCTTGTTATGTTTTCTGCTGAAAAACAAAATAACTTGTATGTTTGTCATGCTGAACCTGTGCTTGATTCTGTTAACTCTGTGATAAGAAGAGATGTTGTTTATGAATTTCCTTGTTTACCTTTACCTGTCCCTATTTCTGAAAATGATGCTCCAAATGAGGTGGAGCAAATGCCTATTATTAATCAACATGAATCACATCCTGATGAAATAATTATTGAAAATCAAGATGATGTTATTCCTAATGAGGTGGAGCATGATATGCATGAGATAGATAGCATGCATGATTTGAATGATTTTTTCCTTTGAACTCGATGACCGTTTGGTAGAGTTCGGTCCTTTGTGGACTTGGCATGCTTTGTGTGTTGCCTTTGTAGCCTATTAACATGCTTTGTGTTTTTTTGCTTTGTGCTTGGGTAATTTTCTCCCCTTGCTTTGTGGCCTATTAACGTGCTTTGTGCTTGTTAGTAGCTTTGTGATTTTTCCCTTTGAACTCGATGACCGTTTGGTAGAGTTCGGTCCTTTGTGGACTTGGTATGCTTGGTGATCTTACACCGATCTTTGTGATCTGAGTTTACTTTGTGTATTCTCTTTCATTGCTTGTATCTTCTTTGTGATCATACAAGTAATAATTTGGCGATGATGAGTCCTGCAGTTTCGTGTTTTTGCTCTGTGCACTACCTTGGGCCAAAGGTGGAGATTGTTGTTATTTTGTTTGGCCCAAGCTTTGGCCCGTTTCCAAATAGCCCAGTTCCCCAAGATATTTTCCCCAAACCCAAACTCTCTCCCTAGCCGATGAAAACAAAAACCCTAGGACAGCCGCCCCTATCTTTGTGCTACCGCTGCTTGGAGTCCCATCCTTCGATGCCCTAGCCTATCTGTAGGTCGGCTTCCTTTCGTTTTCTTCCCTAGCCCATCTCTTCCTGTCGGATGACCCCATGATAAAGAGAGAGAGAGTTGAGGGAGAAGAACGGAGAGTGAAAAGAAAAAGTCTGTGTGACTGAGAACAAAAGAAGACCAGAGAGAGCTTTGTGCTCTGTAGCTTTGTGCGATCCTCTCCCTTACCCGAGCTCTATGCTCTCACCCCCTTTGTGCGATCCCCTTTCATCTTTGTGAGTGACGGGTAGAGAATATCAGTGAGCTTCCCTTTGGCTTCTTGGTGGTGCACTGTGAGTGAAGAACAGGACTGGTTGAGTAGGCTTCTCAGCCAAACCGGAAACGACAACGAAGATCCCCAACAAAGAGGATGCAATTAAATCATCAGCATGTAATTAATATGGTTAGATAAACTTCAGCTTAATTTAAATATTATTTCATATTTTTCATTTTAGTCATTTCTTGGCATCATCTGTTTGCCAATTGAATTGATTTATAGTTCCTTTCTTAACTCATTGCTTTAGCCTGAAACTTCATATTGAGAGAAAATTTATTAAAGTTATCTTATTTCACTTTGTCAAGAGATCTATGATCAAGCAGTAGAAGTCCATAAAATAATACTCAATTAAGTTACCTAAGTAACACTTTCCTATCAAAATTTGTAGAGGTAATTAAGTATGTATCAGGCATAATGCATTGTAGCCTTCACAACTTCCTATCCATACAAATAAACAAGGATTGGATATCATCATGAACATGATTATAGATCCCGCGGCGAAAAGAACATTCATCAACCTTCACCGCTACGTCATTTAAATTCAAAAATTGAGTATGAAGGAGGATGCGCGCGGTAAAATAGATTTAGGATGAGATCCGTGCAACAGAAAGACAAACTAACGGAACTAAAGATTATTTGTATCTGTTATTGCGTGTGGCCCATGCTCTTGTACACGGTACAAAAGAGCTCCATGCTTTTGTACACAGGACTCAAGCCCATGCCCTTTCTTTGTACACAGGACACAAGCTCATGCCCTTGTACCTGTGCCCTTCCTCCAGCCGGTTCACACCCAATATCTCTTCTTGCCTATAAATAGAGAGGTAGGGAGAAGAGGAAGGCGTGGGGAAAAAATACTAAGTGGGTAATTATTGAGTGTGAGTAACTTGAGAGGAAAAGAGAGTGTGAGTTGAGATAGAACTTGTAATAAGTTAGGTATTCTCCTCATAGTAAAAACCTCCTCCCGTGGACGTAGGCTAATTTGCCGAACCACATAAATCTCGTGTTTGTATTGTCTTAACTGTAAGTTGTCATTGCTTGTAGGTTCCCTCGACATTTCAGTCCTAGAACCGATGAGAGAAAAAATGTATATTTTACTTTGATGAAATATATCACTTTTGATTCTTGTTTCCTTTGAGAAATAAGAATTTCACTAATGCCCTAGCCTATCTGTAGGTCGGCTTCCTTTCGTTTTCTTCCCTAGCCCATCTCTTCCTGTCGGATGGCCCCATGATAAAGAGAGAGAGAGTTGAGGGAGAAGAACGGAGAGTGAAAAGAAAAAGTCTGTGTGACTGAGAGCAAAAGAAGACCAGAGAGAGCTTTGTGCTCTGTAGCTTTGTGCGATCCTCTCCTTACCCGAGCTCTGTGCTCTCACCCCCTTTGTGCGATCCCCTTTCATCTTTGTGAGTGACGGGTAGACCTTACCCGAGCTCTGTGCTCTCACCCCCTTTGTGCGATCCCCTTTCATCTTTGTGAGTGACGGGTAGAGAATATCAGTGAGCTCTCCCCTTTGAGTTCTTGGTGGTGCACTGTGAGTGAAGAACAGGACTGATTTCGGCAGGTTTCTGAGCCAAACGACAACGCAGATCCTCAACACATCTATCACTTTCATTCAATAGTAAAGGGCCTAAAGGCTTATATGAGGAAATTTAATAGGATTAAGGTAATTAACTTCTAAACCAATAGAGAATAAGTTTAGATGCTATTCCCTGCAAGTTTGTTACTGTACAAATTTATATCTTAGACTATAATTGTAAATATTAGACTGTAAATTTCACATTTTGAGTTTTCTAATAGAAGGCAAGAAGATGATAGCTCAGCACTAAGCAGAGAAAGAAATGGCAGAACAAAAGTAAGAAAAGAAAAATGCAAGAAGCAGTTATTAACAAGAGAGAAGCCAAACAGATATCAACAAAAGAGAAGCCAAGGAACAAATCTGCACTGGCCACACCTCCAGAAAAATGCCGGTCTCAGCACATTCGGCCACCAAAACCAAACAGCCGCATCACCAGTACCAGGCCAGGGTCACGTGACAGAAGGCAAACTTGAGTCATACCCCATTGCCATGGAAACTGGCAGGGCTCAGCCATCAGCATCACATTGTGTGGAACTGGTGGACACGGAGGTCGATATGCTTCAATATGATTTGATTGTTTTTTTTTAAGTTTCTTTATCTCTAAGAAGTTGGACTTGCTGTGACTTTGCATAGTACGTTGAGATTATGTTGTTTTAGTGTTGTAAATGTAAACATTTATTATACCCTTGTAACACTTCTGGAAATTATTGAAAGATTATGTGCTGCGATGTGCAACTTCCTCATTGTCTCTTCTCGTTTTTTTTCATTTTAGTGTTCTATGAGTCAATTGTTTGAATCTCAAAATGTCCTCATACCTTAAAAAATCAAAGGAGAGGCCTCACACTTGGAAAAAAATATTGTAAAAGTCTTCCTCTTGAGAAATCAAGAAACATCGATGGAAATATCCTCATACTTGAAAAACTAAAACAACATCCAACAGACCATCTGTTCTCCTGACAATTCAACTACGCCACTTTTCCATGTACTGTCTCATGCACGCATCGCATCCACCAGAATGCTAAGTAATTAAACAAAGTCAAAATAAGATATAGAGTTTTAACTCTAATCACTGACAAAAGTGTGTCTAGATACCTTGAAAAAATATGGAGGGCTTAGTCTAGAATGCTCCCATTTGAATGAAGCATCAGATTAACAAATAATATCAAATAGCAAAGTGTGAATAAATCACTCAGCAATGTGACCAGCAAAATGATAAACTATCTAAAAAATCAAGGCACAAAGTAACTAAAAGGCAACGCCAAATTGGCAACCACCTGATAGGCGCTGCTTAAAGCTGTGGGGCCATAAACACCAGCATAAGGCCCGCCGTACTGAGTCCCCTGTGCAGAATGAGCTCTATATCCACTAAGGTCCGCTTCTTGTGTAGCACACATCATCGACTGCCGAGATGCCACAGCATGCTGAGCTCCCGCATCACCAGCTCATTGCTTCAAACACCACTGCATTTCAATTTAAAAAATCAGATGGATTTGAGAAAGCACAAACCTGAAGAAAACAAAAATCATAGAAGATGTATATGCTTACAATTTAACCAAATGTCTGCTGTCCAGAATATGGCTGTGGCCCATATGCACCACTTCCCTTTTAAGGGTACATACTTTTTTATGTTCCATGAAGGAAGTAAATCCTCCCACATTGGGTGAAATAACAATATATCAAATTACAGAAAATTTCTACCCTGAAGTGATCATCATTTGCAAGAAGAAAAAATTACGTACAAGGATCTAATTGATCTCTTTAGCTGACAAGAAAAGGACATGCATTCTTGTGATTGAACGACTGAACCCTAATCTGCTATTAATTCTTGAATAACAATATTATTTGTTATGTACGAATAATTCATTCACGAAAACAAAATTACATGAAACTTTAAAAGATTTTTACAGTAAACAGGGCAAAGTTTTGCTAATCCGATGAGAACAAAATGAATACTCAATTGATGAAACCTAAATAGAACGATATGAAAGAGAGACCAAACCTCAAATGCTCCAAATTACAAATTGAGAAGAGAATGATGGGGAAAAGAGAAGATTTTAGAATCGAGCTCGAGCCTGGGGCTTCTGGATAGGATGATGGGCCACGTCGTCGAATGGGGCCAGCATCCGGCCTCCCTCAAATCGGTTTATTTGGGGGTTACTCGTTGTACATTTTTATACTATAACTAGTACGGTGCACGTGCTTTGCACGTGTATCTATTTTTCATATTTTAATTTAAAAGTAAATATTAAATTATAAATTCCTTGAAAATATATTTAATGTAAAACTCTATTTTTTTCGTATTCAAAATAATTTTGTGAGATTTAGAGGGCTAACCATTGTTTTGAAACTAAACCTGTTCTCTTCTTTCTTTTATTTACTGCAGTTACTGCTCTTTGGCTGCAAGAATTAATGATATTGAATATAATGTTATGTGCGTTAAAATTAAACTTTTACAAATCTTTCATGAGGTTGTTATGATATAATCATCCTATTTTATTTTTTTTAATCATTTCTTTCTCAAAAAGAGAAAAAGATTACACACGAATAAAGAATACATTGATTAATGATATTGAATATCATTTCTTTCTCAAAAAGAGAAAAAGATTACACACGAATAAAGAATACATTGATTAATGATATTGAATATAATGTTATGTATATAAAATCCACATTATTACACACGAATAAAGAATACATTGATTAATGATATTGAATATAATGTTATGTATATAAAATCCACATTTATTACTAATTCTTAATCTTGTTTTCCCTCTTCTCTCTAAGAGTCTTAAAAGAAATCAAAGAGAAGATGCTTTTTGTTTTTTGTGTATGTCTAAAATATTGTATAAAGAATGAGATCTTTTACATGCAATTTTTTTATAATTTCATAAGAATTTAGAAAATAAATTGAATTAAATTAATTTTAATTCAAATATTAAGAAATAAAGAATAACAAAAGCAAGTTAGATAAAATCCGAAAGAAATATACTCACATGCATTACTCGATCTCACGAGGTGCATAATAGCATTTGGAACTATTTATTTAGGTCATCAAACTATCAATTCAAGTATTAAGACATCGCAGTTCTAACATTTGGGAGAATAATAAAATTTCCTGATGTTAGGATTTATAGATGCAATATATACAAATTTCATTGAACTAAAAGCATATTACAATTTTCATTTCTTTCAATCTCATATAAACCCTTTTTTTCTTCATATTCTCAATCTTGGGCCAAGTATTAGACCTTAATTAACTTCTTATTACAATTCAAAAATGAACAACAACAAATTATCATTAACCTTCAATTTCGAACAATCCAAATTATTAAGAAATAAGTGAGGAGGAAACTTGCCTGCATACATCAATTAATCATTTGAAATAAAGATTTCTCTTCAACAAAGATTAATCTGGATCTCTTCTTCTGTTTGAAAGAATGGGTAATTGAAATAAAATCCCAATTTATGGTATGATTTTTTAACTATTTCTAAATATACATATTTTACTAACCTTTTTGAAGCATTGCTTCGTTTCTTTTCTTGTCCTTGCTCTGTTATCTCTTCTTCTTTGTTTTTAATAAGATTCAAGTGTAGAGAATTGATGTATATAGTATTTGATTTCTGTTATCTCTTCTTCTTTGTTTTTAATAAGATTCAAGTGTAGAGAATTGATGTATATAGTATTTGATTTCATAACTGATTTTTTCCTTAATGAAAACAAGATTCAAGTGTAGAGAATTGATGTATATAGTATTTGATTTCATAACTGATTTTTTCCTTAATGAAAACACCTCATAATATTTTCACTACTCAACACCTCATTATAATTCTTAATGAAAATGCCTAAATGAGTTGAAATGGCCAAGATTTTTGTCTTCGCATTCAAATGCTCAATGTGCTTAATTAATGACATACTATTAATTTAGATTCAAAATGCTAGATATAGTACAAGTATATATCCAACTATAGTATAGAATATGAACAAAATAAGTTTTAGAAACATGCTCTAACTTTTGAGGATCTTTTCCAGTAGCTAAAAAAGGTTAAGATTGAAATGATAAATAAAATAAGTATGTATATATCAAACCACATTATATAATGTTTTTCTAAAAATATATTTGGGGGCGTCAAAAATTGCCTATAGGTTCCCACACGTAGTTTGAGACGGAGAGAAGACGATGAACATTATTATCCGAGTCAATGAGGATTATCTGACGCCGACAAGCACAGAAAGTGAATTGGCGAACTGTTGATGACGTAGCAACAAGCCACCAGAATGGCAAACCAAGTGGCCCGTGCACTCACTGGACACATTCATGTGGTCAGCGCACTCATCAGCCACCTCCAAGTGGCCTGCGTGCTCATCAGCCACCGCCAAGTGGCCCGCGTGCTCACCGGCTACCTCCAAGTGGCCCACACGCTCATCAGCCACCTCCAAGTGGCTCGCGCACTCATTAGCCAAGTGGCCCGTGCACTCGCCAGCCAGCTCCAAGTGACCCGCGTGCTCACCGTCCACCTCCAAGTGGCCTGCACACTCATCAGCCACCGCCAAGTGGCTCACGTGCTCACCGGCCACCTCCAAGTGGCTCGCACGCTCACCGACCAGCTCCGAGTGGCCCGCGTGCTCACCGACCAGCTCCGAGTGGCCCGTGTGCTCACCGACCATCTCCAAGTGGCCAATACGCTCACCGGCCACCTCCAAGGTAACGAAATACATGAAGTGAATTGGTGAACCGTACGAGTCAACGTGACACGCAAAACGGCAAAAACAACTCAGCCAGAAGTTATATTTTGCCCAAAAAGGAGGGAAATGACATGTGTATCTTGCCCACACCATATGTGGATCGCCCACTGGAAGTTGTAGATCTCTTCACCAGCTTTCTAACATATCTTGAATCACCTCATTCCGAGATTAGACGAGAGAGCTAGAGCCAAAATACCCGAGGAAGTACAAACTGGCTCGCATAGTATTTGGGGGCTCGTACAAAAAACTAAGATTTTAGTCATGATACGATTTGATTCTAGAGAAACTCAAAAAAGAAAAGTTATAGGTATTTTTATCAACTTTCCAATGTATCTAGAATCACCTTATTCTGAGATCGGACAAGAGAGTTAGAGGAAAAATACTAGAGGAAGTACAAACTGGCTCGCACAGTGCCGAGCCACCATTTGGTGGCTCGCACAAGAACTGACATTTCGGCTATGATGAAATTTGATTCTAGAGAATCTTAAAAGATAAAAATTGTAGGTCTTTTTGTCAGATTTCCAACACCTTTATAATCACCTTATTCTGAGACCGTACGAGAGAGTTAGAGGCAAAATACCAGAGGAGTACGAACTGGCTCGCACAGTGTCGAGCCACCATTTGGTGGCTTGCATAAGAACTGATATTTCAGCAATGATACGATTTGATTCTATAGAAACTCAAAAGAAAAAAGTTGTAGGTATTTTCGTCAGATTTCCAACGCATCTTGAATCACCTCATTCTAAGATTGAAAGAGAGAGTTAGAGCCAAAATACCAGAGGAAGTACAAACTGGCTCGCACAGTACCGAGCCACCATTTGGTGGCTCGCATAAAGAACTGATATTTTAGTCATGATGTGATTTTATTCTGGAGAAACTCAAAAGATAAAAATTATAGGTATTTTTATCAGCTTTCCAACGCATCTTGAAACACCTTATTTTGAGATCTAATATGAAAGTTAAAGCTAAAATACCCAAGGTAGTACAAATTGGCTCGCCCAAGGCCGAGCCACCATTTGGTGGATCGCACTGTTCCGAGCCACCAGATGATGGCTCACGCCCCGAAACACTAAAAACATATTTTTTGATAGTTTTTTGGGATTCTTTCATTCTAGATGTTCCCAACTGACTTGATATCATCTCTACACATGGTTAGACCGTTGTCAACTGATGATATGACCAAATCCTTTATTCTTATCCAAATACCCTGCATCCGAAGCCCTATAAATATGAGCCTAGGGCCTTCTTTCATAGGGGGAGAGTTATAATCAAAGAGGGCGAGGTGTTGCCAAATTACAGAGCCAATAGCCATGAATTTCAGATAGGGTTAGCTAGATCTTGGTGATTTCCTGTGCATAAAGAGTGAATTTCGAGAGATCTGAGACCCGTACCCCCTTTCCTCCGGATCAAACTTGGTTTTTATCTCGAGAAGAGTCGTAATCTCGCTTGATCAAGATTATCACTTCTGGGATTACTTCCTTTGTGAAGTAAGAGATTTGAATAACTTTTCTGTCAACCGGATCTAGTCTGTGACGGTCCACGGACTAACGCGTCCCCGACACAGGCAAAGTCCACACGCAAGCAACAGGAGATAAACCGTTGTTGTGTGTTGTTTGAAGGAATTGTAATCTTTATATTTTTATTGTGTAAGAAGATCTTATAAAAAGATTAACATTTTATTTATTTTAGTTTATTATAACGGCTAAATTTGTAATAGATTCGATGATAATGAAAACAATAATTTCTGACCTAAATACGTTGGCGACCACAGTGGGAGCCAACAGCTTTTTTATGAAGGCTGATGTGTCGCAACCTCAGATCCGAATCCCGGTTGACATAGAGGTTGAGTACGAATTCGACCAGGCCAAGTTCAAGGAGTATCTGTCGTTCTCCTCCTCCAGATCCTTCACACTTCACAAGCGTAGGAAGATCAACGCCCCCGTTACTGTGGCAATCCCGCCTTACAATGCCCCTTCGTCCTCTAATGAGTCCGGATCTGCAGATCCGGACTCCTCCTTAATCAAGGAGATAGCCGCCGGAGGCTCCTCCTTAATCAAGGAGATAGCCGCTGGAGGCGTACCCACTTTATCAATGAGAACTTACCAAAGGCAACGACAATACCTCGCGCGCTAATTTGCCAAGGTTTTAGAGCCTGTAGACAGGATCCGTTACGAAGCGGATCTGAAATTCAAGGAGCATCGAGCGCCTCAATAGCGAGCAAACGGCCCCTCATCCAAACCAGCAATGAACGAATGGATCCAAGTCAAAAGGAGCCGTTCAACCCTTGAGGAGCGCATCCAAAAGCGCCGCGCACTCCTTATGCGTGCACGGATTCTTGTGCAAAAGGCCTGAGAGTTGCAGAAGCAAGAGGTGGCCAAGGAAC